CTTTTAAAAAGTACTGAAGACCTCCAACGGCTCAGGTTTATGTAGCTATGTTATTCAGTATTTATCATATTATACATCTAAACTAACAATATCTTAAATAGCTGTTTATTAATACAGAAAAAAATCACGCTAATAAACCAATCATTTTAACATGAAAAGCATATTTTAAAGACATCAATTAATATTAAAATATTAATAAATATTAAAATAACTGGAGAATTACATTGTTTCCTATTTTTGTAAATCTATTTAACGTCTGTCTTATTAGAAGACAGCTAGACTCTCGTATCCGTTTCTGCATTGAATCTGCTGCGCTGTGTTCTTACAGGGGAAGTACATGAAGAAATTTCAGCCTCTCAGAGATGAAGAGTTGGAAAAGGGGAAAGTCTTTTTGTAGTTTTTTCAGTTGGATGTCACCCCAAGCCTCAAAAAATAAGTTTCCTGCAGGTTATTTGCAGTGAGGAATGTGAAGCTATATCAATGATTTTTTTTTTTTTTAACACCTACAGCACGTGGTCTTCCTAGGTGGGCTCCCATCCAAGTACTAACCAGGCCCGACCTTGCTTAGCTTCTGCGACGAGATTGGGCATGTTCAGGGTGGTGTGGCCGTAGACTCAATGAATTTTTATATTATGTTATGTTAACATCTATCAGTGTATTCATGTCAACAATCACACTTAGAAATTCTTAAATATTGAGAAGCTGTCAAATACACAGTGATGGCTACATTTTCCTTTGCTTAATGCTTGAATTTTATCGTTTGCAGCCAATATTGTCAGTCGTTTTCCTTAAAGTCAACAAATTCACTATGCTTATCCTGGTGAAAAGTCAACAGATTCACTATATTTATCCTGAAGATAAGGCATTTACCCAAAATTTTAAATTAAAAAAAAAAAAGAGAGAGAGGTTTTTAGTGCTATATCAAGGAGACTTTTCAGTCAAATCTTTTTTTTTCCTTTTTCACCCCACAAGTGCATTGTGATAAATGATATGATGAATACTAATAGCTAAGGTTTGGTGCCATTGTCTTGAGTCATTAAAGCTTCAGCAGCTTATTCACCATTGCGTTTGCACCGTCAATGCAAATGTCAACACAGACGTCCCAGCATAAGTCATAAGAGTCAAAAGTTGTGCAGTAATCTGAACGTTTCATCGCTGCTTGCCCTTGTTGCCAAGCATCCACGTGAAGGAAGATCTTCGATGGCCGATCCATGCTGAAACCGGATGAGTTCAAGCAAAATAAGCTAGTTCAACCACATCTGTGCACCTGCCTACTCGTCAGACAGAAGCCAAGTTCTGCAGATAAGAAGTTAACTCTGTCTTTGGTTAACCTAAAACTTGAAATCAGAGAGTGACTGTAGGTTGGGAAGCAGCAGTGTCCTGACTTTTCATCCGCTAGCCATTCACCATGGCAGCTGTGCACCATTTTATCCGTTTCTCAGATTCTGCGTGTGTGCTCGTCCAGACAACGCCATACCATAACTTACTCTGAAAGAAGACTCAGTGACTTTACCATTTTTAGTTTGAGAGGCATGACAGTTTTTAGCTTTTATTTATTTTCGTTTTGTTTCACAATATTATTTTTTTAATTTTTTTCAAAAATTTCCTAAAGAAAAAATAACTTATAATAATCGTTTTATATAATTATGGAATGCGTTATGATCTACTTACACTGTTATTATATTAACATTTATTATTTCATTATAAAAGAAATGAAAAATATTTACATATATTTTTTATATTTAAAGATGCACTGCAAACTTTTAAAAGGAAAATTAAAAGGCTTGTTTCTTAACCCAACTCTACTGTTTAACATCTAAAGATGCTGTAAAGAAATGGGCATAGTAGAGTTCTCTGACTCATGGAAATGAAGAAATCTACTCGAAAAAAACATGGCAAAACTCTAAGAAACAAAAGTGTAATAAAATCTATTCTTCCCTGGGCTTTGTGGATTTCAAAATTTAACTTATTATGTGTTATACAACAGAACATTTTTGGATGGTATATATCACACTAGTTCAGCTGCAGCATCATTTTGAAATCAATCGTTAAAGAAAAAGAACTAAATTTTTCAAACGTAAGTATGATGAGCTCTTTAAAATTCAAAAATTACTTGTTATAGCTTTCCAACTAGAAGTGAATTAGCTGCTGCAGCATCTTAACGGGTGAGTTATCATACTGGCTGGAGAGGCGCACACAATAGCTGAGAGGTTTTTTGGCTTTTAAAGAGCTAATTATATCTACATTTAAAATATTCAATACTTTTCAAACAATTATTTGTCTCAAAATAATGTTGCCATAAAACTGTCACAATAAAATTACTAGAAAATATTTTTTCTTCCTAAATCACGATAAGGCAAATTATTAACATCTATAAAGCTGAAGGAATGATGGCTTTTGTCATATTTTTCATCTCCCATGTACAGCTTTCTCATTTTATTTGGAGTAGATCTCTCCTTTCCATAAGTAAAGGGCGTCTTTGAAATAGGTTTCACTTTTTTCTCCAACTTCAGACATGGACAGTGTAATGGTTGGTGGTAAAGAAAGTGAGCCTTTTAGTCTAGCAGAAGTGTAAGGTCAATAAAAAGGTAAACAGATAGCAAAATAATAGTCAGCTGTAATATAAGAAACCATAAAGGGAGAAAAGAAAGTGGAAGATGATGCCGCTGGAGAGAGAGCCATCCAGGAGGGCCTTTCTGAGAATGCAATGCTTGAGCCAAGGACGGAAGGATGAGAATGATCCAGCTATGCAGAGACCTGGGGGAAAGACGCGGCAGACGGAGTAAAGTGTTTCGGTTCAAAGTGCTGAGGCTGGGAGCAAGCTGGAGGGCTGTGGGAGGAGACAGAGTCAACGATTTTTGAGTGGAGAGAGCAGAGGGATGAGAAGCATGGGGTGGGCTGGGAGCAAGGACACGGGATGTCACGGTCCATTCAAGACAGGTATGGTTTGATTCTCAGGGCAATCAATGGAAAGCCAAGTGAGTACTATGATTAGATTTATATTTTTAGAACTCTATTCAGGTTGCTTAGGGGAGAGTAGATTTAAGATCTAGTGTAAGACCGACTCGCTAACTCAGCCTCATTGTGCTGCATACTAATTTGTTATTGCCCTCGATCAAGCTGGGGCAGAAAATCGATCTTAATGCTCATAAATTCAGTGTAGGCTGTTTTTAAAAATCATTGTTATTTATTTTTGTTTGTTTTTGCAGGTCATATGGGCCATCTGTTATGGTGATGGCAATATTACTGGTGGCTAATTCAAATGGAATTGCAGAAACTTTTTTTTTTCCTAAAAAAAAAAAAAATTAACTGTCAGTGCTCCCACCATTAATAGAAAGATAAAAATAAATTTTTAACTCCCAGAACTGGAATTTCTCTCAACATTGTCTGGCATGAGTTATAAAAATGACAAATGTTAGCCTTCGACTAGAAAACAGTCTAGTGGCTATGTTGTCTCGAGAATCGGGAACAGCCGTGCAAGGCTGAAATTTTCTAATCAAAAAGGAGCTAGGAAGTCGAAATAATGACTATTATTAAGCATTATGCAAAATAGTAAAACAAGGATATAATGAATAATAAAGAATCCAGATAACCAAGGTGGGCAAGCGAGATGTCAAAATAAGGGAGAAAATGGCTGGAACTATTCAATATCAACAGAACTGCCTCCTGGTGACAACCAGTCCGACTAACTCTGCACAAAACATGGCTCTTTTCTTCTATACAGCAGGTATTACACATTTCTAACTCCATAAGACTTTAAATTGATAACTAGTGCCATCGTAGTAAAATGGAACTAAATTTCACAGTCATCTTTTAAATTGGACACCGTGCGTCTCCAAGATAAATCACAGCCTTCGGAGCCTTCACCCATAAATAAAAGAAAATGCGATTCAGAGAAACTGAGACGGTGAGGACGTGAATTGTTTCAAAAGGAAAAAGCTGAGGAGTCCAACTCAGACGGTGAACGTGGTGCCCCGGTGACGTGGCCACCAGGGACCCAGTTCTCCGGGTGTCCGCGCTGCTCA